AAAAAAAAAAAAAAAAAAATCCCCACTATCACACACAAAAGAGTGGTGAAGTGGCGGGAAGGTCACCCGGGGGAGGTGGCCTCTAACTTCACCGGGGCCTCAGCTGGTGCTCTGAAAATGCTGCTCATGGCCAGGTTTCCTCAGGAGGACGGTGGGGCCCCACCCACAGCCCCTCTTGTAGCAGAGCTGACACCCCTCAACCTCTGTCCTCAGACGGCTGCGGCTCCTCCGGGCCTGGGGACCCCAGATGGGCCCTGGAGACCGGAGACCAAGCCAGCAGAAGGGCAGCAGATGTGCCAGGAACCTCGGGGGGCCAGGGAGATTTGCATAACAGGGATAATTGGGTAGCAAAACGTGCAGCAGTTAGCTGCATGGATCCCAGCACAGCACTCGGATTTCACTTCTTTCTGAGGCTTCTCAGATCCGGCTGCCGTGCTCAGTGTGTGAACTGTCCGGACGCCTGGTCTCCCCGGTGACTCAGTCCTGGGTCTCTGCTCAGCCTGCTCTGCCACAGGCCTGCGCCAGGAGAGAGCTGCCTGGCCAGCCAAGGGGAACCCAGGGCCTCTGCCCACAGACTTGCCGTGGGACCCCAGCTCCGCACCCTGGCCTTCCGCTCCCTGCTGGCTTCCGCTGTCGGTACCACCTCACCTGGGCCAAAGGCCCTCACTTCTATCATTACTCCTGAGCCCTGCCCGCACGCACGGGGTGGCCGGGTGCAGTGAGCAGGTCCTGCGGTCTGGGGCCCTGATTGCATTCCCCTTTCAGGGCCCTCTCCCCACCCTGGGACACTCACTGCCTTCAGCGACCCTCCATGGCTGTGTCAGGCAGGGAGCAAAGCAGGCCTGCTGCCCTGCACCTCCAGCACTGACGGGGGCGGAGCCTGAGCCCTGGGGCGGAGCTGGGCTCCCTAGAGGGGTCCGCCCCTTTTCCTGGCCCATCCTGGGGACAGGCAGCGGTGTCCAGGGTGACGCTGCAGTGTGAGAGAAGGCAGGAGCAGCCCTGAGGGCTGGGACCTCAGCTGCTGCAGGAGTTGGGGGTGGGAGGGCATTCTTCAGGGAACCGCTGGGGCCTGGTGGGAGCTGGGGAAGAGAACTGGCCTAGGGTGCAGGAAGCCCTGGATTCAATCCTGGTACAAGAAGGAGGAAGAGGAGGAGGGAAGGAAAGGAAGGAGGAGAGGAGAAGGAAAGGAGGAGGACAGAAGGAAGAGGACAAAAGGAAGGAGAGGAGGAAAGGTAGGAGGAGGAAGGAGGAAGCAAGCATTGGCCGTGGCCTCTGGGAGCTGCTTCTTTGCCTTCTTTGTATTTTCCCCGTCACCGTGTCTGCATCCTTGCTCTGGATCCAGGGGTCGGTTCTGCCCACCGCACTGGTCAGGCCAGGGACAGAGGCTGGGGAGGACGTCTGCTCTGCCGCGAGCAGCCAAGGGGAGCCCAACAACTACCACACCAGTGAGGGGCCCCAGCTGAGCTGCTCGTGATGCGCACTCGGCAGCGGGACCCTGAATCCACAGCACAAAGTGCCAGCGGCTCACACACTCGGATCAGAAGATGGACCCCATGGGAGTGGATCCGAAGGAGAATGGCCTGTGGATCACTTGCAAGCTGCTCCGTCTACATACAGAGCCTACAGGGATTAGCAGTCCGAATAGCAAAGGAAAGCGGAGTGCTGACTTTCCGTTCAGACAGAGCCTCAGGGTGAGGAGAGTTGTGGGATAATCAAGGGCGTGGCCTAATGAAGAAAGGGTCCACGCTCCGAGAAAACACAACCTCTAACATGTATGCACCTAACAGTCAGGCTGCAAAACACATAAGACAAAACGAGTTGATCCACAAGCAGAACTGGATGCATCCACCCTTACTCTATCAGAAATAGATGGACTCAGCAAGCAGGAAATTTGTAAAGATGTCCTTGATCTGAAAGGAAGCACTTTGTCCAAGAAAGGTGGCGAGCAAATGTCAGACCAAGGGGACAACCTGAACTGGCCAGAGGCTTGGAAGTGACACGGGGCCATGTGCGGGTGAAAGGCAGGCTGGCAGGGTGAGGCTGGGTGGGGAGGCGCCGGTGGCAGGGGTGCTTTCAGAGCAGAGGAGGAAGCTGGCACCCTGCTCACCAAGGGACAGGGGAAGCCAAGGATGCACCAGTCCTGTGCTGGGCCACGGGGCAGCATGGGCAGCGTGGACGGTACAGTTCTCTGGAGGAAGGGGGCAGAGGGTGTGACACTAATTTCAGGTAGTGAAACCGAGCCAGGGAAGCAGAGGTCACAGGGAGTCACCCTAAGCCACACTTCCCAAGTCCCACTATGCACAGTGCCGAAAGAGGAATGGGGGCCAAAGGGCACAGGGAGAGCAGCACAAATTTGCCCCTCGAGGTGGAGACGGAGATGCTCAGCGGCTCTGAGCGGCTAAGAGCTCTGGGGAGAACACAGTGGGTCCCACAAATGTGTTTAGACCAGAAAGCCCCTGGCACCCCATTTGCTGTGTTCACATTGGAGAACAGAGTCCCAAGGCAGAGCCTGCACCCAGCCAGATCTCGCCCAGTCACAGGAGGACAACATGTGGCGTCTCAGGAGGGTGGCCAGTGTGGCCGTGAGCAGGAGCCCTGGCCCTGCTCCTCCTGGGGCCAGCTGAGGACTCCCCTGGCTTCTGGGACTTTGTCTTCCATGAAGTGAAGCTGGCAGGCGTGGGTACCCACTCGTCTGCTGCTCACAGCGAAGGTAGGGCCCGAGGTGCATTGTTCCCAGCAGGGAACAGGCGCAGGGCTGTCTGCTTCCTCGGTCTGTGTCTCGGCTTGACACCTCCCTTGAGCACCTGAGCCAGGGCCTGAACCATTCAGAACAGAGTGAGGTGATGTAGGCCCTAGCAACTGGGCTGACCACATAGATTCCAGGCTTTGGTAAAAAACAGTACTAGACATTGTGCTCATCAGGTTTCTCTGCTGGGAAAAGATACCTGACACATGCAACCTCAAGGAGGAGAGGTTTCTTGGGCTCTGATTCATGATCAGCTGGTTCCCAGGCAGGAGGAATAGGGAGGACAGCTGTGGCCTCACAGCAGCAGCCAGCAGAGAGCATGAAGAGCCAAGGCCGGGCTGGGTACGGATGGCCCTTCAGGCTGTACTGAGCTGTGAACTTGTGAACAGATTCACCCCCTTGAAGCCAGAGTCCCCGGGATCCATTCAGCCCCTCAGATCCCTCCAGCCAAGCCTTCAGCACATGAGGCTTTGGGACCCTACCCCTAACAGCTGCATTTGCAGACCTGAACAAGAAGGAAGGAAAACCGGTACCTGTGCTGAGCTGCTGTGTTGAGTTGTTTCATGCCAGGTGTCTGTTCTCGCCAGCTCTCACTGCAAATATGCAACCCTCAGGCTCACAAGGGACACGGTGTCTCCCCAAAGCCAGCAAAGCACAATCCTCAAAACTGTTCCATCTGGTCCACATAAAAGCTGCTCACACCACTGCCAGAAAGAGAGTTGCAGGGGGAGGGGGAGGTCAGTGCTGGGAGAGAGAAACATGACAAAGAAAGTTGGCGATGCCCTCCTATGATGACATGTAGAGAGTGTGAAGAAACCTGCCCTGACTCCTGCTGTGTGTCTCCTGTGGTGACGGAAAGAGGAGAGTGTGAGGAGAGCTGGTGGAATCTAACAGAGAAGGAACGATATTTGGGGTGGCAAAACAGCAGAGAAAACCTATTTGGCTACCCAGCACCTATTGGTAGGCAGGGATTATTCTCAGCGTCTTAGCCAGCTGTCCAGCACAGCTCAAGGTGCCCAGTTCATCTACCTGGGTAACTGAGGCTCTCAAATTCAAGAAGGATTTACTCAGAGGCCCTGTCTACTTCACATCACATGAAAGCCTTAGCACAGAAGTAACTCTTGTGTGCTCGTGGAAATCTCCACATTGTGACAAGCAAGTTGAGAAAGCTCCAAGCGAAGAGACTTCAGGGTAGCCAGTGAGAGAGTTGGAATGTTCCCAACACAGAGATGACAAGTGTACCCGATGGTGGTTTGCCACTACCCAGATGTGGTTGTTACACATTATACATGTATACTGAGATAGCACCCCGTGCCCCTTCTGTATGTATGACCATTATGTGTCGATTAAAAATAAAATACATTTCAACTTTTTAGAAAGCTTAAAGCCTTACGGCATTCCACTGTGTACCCTAGAAGGAATAATGCTTAACTCAGCACATAGTAGGTTCACTATTAAAAGTTTATGGATAATTTTAATCCTCCTGCTGTACATCCTAAAGTCTGGTTTTCTGTTGATCTGAACACTCCCTAATGCATATAGTGGCTGCAGACCAAGCCATGATAAATGGGAGGCTTTAATTCCTCTCTGACAGGCAAGACAGTGAGAAACTACTGATCTCCATATGCCAGGCTCCTCCAGCTTTTCCAAGGTGGACTTCACTGCCAGGCCTGCCTGACCAAGGCTCTGGACCTAGGAATCCACTTGCTTTCCCACTGCCTGACTCAGGGGAACATTCCTCCCTGGGCACTCGAATGGCAAGTCATGGAATGTTTGCACGGGTCAGCTATTTAGGAAAAAGCAATACTGCAACAGTACTTCTGACCACAGTCTCATGACAAAGGGGTCTCTGTCCTCACACCTTAGGGACAGGCGTCTCAGTGAGCCACAGCTCTCACCGGAGGGGAGCTACACTTCTCACACACCCAGCCAAGGTCCAACAGGCAGTGCAGACTCCTAGCCCCGTGAGCCGAAATCCTGCTTCTTAATTCTTCCACTGGAGAAGCTGCGTGTTCTTTCATTCCACACCCGTAATACTCACATGCCAGAACCCACCACACGGCGCATTTGTCACACACACAGGGGGCCTAGGTAGAACAGTGCTGCAAGATAGCCACTAGGCATGGTTGGCCATTCAATTCAGATGAACTGCAATGGAATAGAATGAAATTCTCAGTCCCAAAGTCACAAGGGTTCTAAGCATTCAACAGGCTGGATGTGGCTGTGGCTGCCACACTGGACTGCACCAACAAGGGGCCTGTCCACTGCTACAGTGACCTCCACTGGGCAGGGCTCCATGCGGTTCTGGTGGGTGCCTGCCTCACTCCTGGGGTCCCCCATTTCTGGCACAGTGCCTGACCCACGGTGTGGGAAGATGCCCGTCCAACGTAAATGCCCTCCCCGAGTACACCAGGCCCTCCTGACACATTTCCCAGCAAAGCCTGTCCTGGGCACTCAGTCCTCAAGGTTGCCTTCAACATTCAAAGCTGGCACAACTTTCACTTCCCCCTCGGTAATGGCATTTGCCTAAGGACGTGTGCTTTGTACAATGCATGGGTTCCGCTGGTCCCTTCAAGGTGCTCTCCATGTGAGGAGCCCCCAGGAGGGCTCCGACTTCCACCCACCTCCCTCCCTGAGACTCTGTGCCCAGAGGGCTCCTCTGACCTCCAGTCCCCTTCCACCAGTCAGCAACCTGCAAAACAGAAACCGTGATGAGCAGTACCGGGAGGGTGGGATTTCCAGCAAATAGGGAAGGACTCCTCCGCCCTGCTGGTCAGTTCTTGCAGGATCATCCTCCTCTCAGGAGAAAAAGAGGAAAAAAAGGCAAATCACTTTCCTCTTGCTTCTGCTTCTCCTAAATAAACTGCTTGCCTAATTTCCTTTGCAGTTAGAGAAATGTTCCTTGTGAAAGCCGCTATTTCCACACATTCACTCACTGTGGACTCCGGGCTCCAGGAGGCGTTTGCATTTCCAGGCTCCCTCCATCCCAGCATTGCCAGCTGTCCTTGCCTTGCCTCTCTGCGCGAAGACAAATGCCAGTGAAGCCAGGCTGGCTGAGACCACTGGACCCTTCCAGGCGTACATGCTCGCTGCCCTGGCTCCAGAGGTAGGCAGGATGCAGCTCTGCAAGGTTCCATCTAAATGCTGAGAATGTCAGAGCTCTGCTTGGACCTTGTTAGCCAACTCCACTACCTCAGGGGGATGAGTGTCCCTTGGCCCAGTGGCAAAATACCGGATTTGAGCAAGCCAGACCCAGGCCAAACTGCAGGGCTCCTCCAGTCAAGCACATCCTCCAGCGCTAGCATGTGCTTGGAATCTTGTGTGTGTTGGGGTGCAGGTGGGAACCCATACAGTTAATTACACCCTCGCCTGCTTCCTCTGGACAGAGAGCCCCACACTACTAATCTAAAAGGGAGAGAATCCTTCCTGCTACCAAAAAGATCATCACTAAGAAGGAAGTGTTTGCAAAATGCCCAGTGAGGAGCATCTCATGGCAGGGCATTGCTGGGCATGACCGCTGTGCTCTGTGCTGAGTGCCGGGGCACACGGGCAGAGAACAGAAATCTCAAACGCACTGGGTGGAAGGAGCCACCTCCACCTCCACCGTCTCCTGGTTCTGGCTGATTCAGGACCGAACAGCTCACCAGAAAGGGACTTTGGGCAATCTTTACATTTGTAGAAACACGCACCAGGAAGTCAGGGCGTTGGAAATCTTCCAAGTAGCGAACACAGGCCAGAACATCTCAAAAGTCCAATTAAGTCTAAATGTTTTTAAGAATCTAAGTGCAGTATACGGAAATAGTTTAAAATGGAGAAACCCAAAAATGTGAAGTTTATAGCAAATCAGGGAACTGATTCTTGCTAACATCTGAGTGGAATCCCCTCCAAATGGGATCAAAACTCAAAATACTTTCCAGGGAGAGTGACAATGGCAGAGCCCCGGGGAATCTGAGGGACGCGCTCCACCTAGTGGCGAACGGACGCAGGACGGACAGAGGGACCAGGTGTTGCTCTGGAAGGAAGCAAGAGCCCACCCAGCCAGGGGGAAGCTGAGCCGGGACCTTACCCGGGTCACTGCCACGTTACAGGTAGACACAGGGTTGCCATGTGTGAAAACGTTTCATCCGTGTCCTTAGCTTCTGGCTTAATTTTGAAATTACGCTGCGCACCAGGTTTTGGTAATACCACCATCCCTGTTACCACGGCGCACAGGGCTGGCTCTTTGGGTGGAGTCTTCCCACCTAGCTGGGTGCTCCTGGTCTGTATCCGCTCCTCGGGGCCTGCGCTCTCTCCTCGTGTTTGGCCCTGGCCGGCAGCAACAGTAGGGAGGACGCTGTGGTAAGGCCGCAGCTCCGTGCGGAATTCCCCTCTCGGCTGTGGCACCTCACCCCCGGGCCACCTCCACTGACCACAGTGGGTGAGCCCAGGCTGTGAAGTCAGCAACAGCGGACACCGCTTGCCCTGCACGCGGAGAGGCGGAGCTCCGCCCCAGTCCTGTGGACCTGAGCTCGGATCCCACTGGTTCCCATGTGAACGCGTCCCACAACCCCGCCTGAAAGGTGGCTATGGAGACTTAGGACCTCACAGTCCTGGCACACAGAAGACCCCAGGGAAAGGTAGCGTCAGCGCTATTTAGATCCTGTCCTCTAATCATGGAAAGTAACTTGGGAGTGAGACAGACTGGGAGAGTCACGGCACAGACCGGGGTGCCTGGTACTGACTCCCGTCTGTGGGCATTTCCCCAGCACGTCTCTAGAAAACGGGGCACTCTTCCATGCGAAATCTTATTACTCTCATGATGGAATCCTTGTATTTCTGAATTACCAACTAAATTGATATAAATCGCCCAGCACTATTTATACCAGTTCTATTTGTAATAGTCAAAAATTAGAAAAAACCTAAACATCCGTAGGCACGTATGGATGCAAAATCGCAGCACATCTACACCACCGAATCATAGCCATCATCAAGGAAAAGGAACGAAGCGCTAATAGGAGAGTCCATTTGCGTGAGCTCCAAAGTAACTACGGGCAAAAAAGGCATCTGGTGTGACCCCGTGGATACAAAATTCTGGTAAATGCAAACTGATGTCTAAAAAGCAGCTCAACAGTTGCCCAGGATTGGAGGCCCAAGGCTGAAAGCTGTTAAGTGGGAGGAAGAAATGACAAAGGACACAAAGAAACTTTGGGGATTTTGATTTATTTGACCTATTCTGCTTTATTTTTATTGCAGCAATGGTTTTGCCTGTGTATACATTTATTAAAAGTAATCAAAGTATACACTTCAGATCTTTGCAGCTCACTCTTTTTCAATTATATACCTCAAAGTCATTTATAAGTTAAGGTATCTGGGGTGACATTAGTTTGAAACTGTGTCTTACTTTTGGGAGATTTTCTAAGATTCTCGCTGAATTCCACAAAGGCCTTCAGAGCTGACTCATAGAATTCCCTCTGCTCTGGTCCCAGGGCCTCTTCCAAGATGAGTGCTGAAATTTAACCGCCCCCGTGATGGTAGTAAGAGGCGGGCCCTTTAAGAGGTGATATGGTAGTGAGGGCTCCTCCCTCCGGACAGGATAATCCTGCTATCTTGGGAGCAGAGCACAGCCACCACCAAGAGGTCGCTTCCTCCATGGTGTAATGAAGCTAAAAAGCCCTTCTCACTGTGGGTCTTCAGTCGTGGACTTGTAG